ATGCGTCATTTTTTTTTTTTGTTTTTTTTTGGGAGCCTGACTATTACACCAATGCAATCATGACAGAAGTGGTCACAGGGAAGCCATCAGGCTTGTTGATGGGAAGGATGGATCTGGATGAGGTTGTGAATTTATCTTGCTTAGTGCTTGATTGAAGAGAGTATGCTTTATCAGATCTGAAGGAGTATCCCCTGGATGAAACTGCTAGAATGTTACGGCTCGCTCATGTTCTAGTCAGATCACGGGGAAAGATTCTCTATGGTGCAGCCCATTGATTCAGGTTTTGTTGAGTTGGTTTCATTGGTTCCCCGAATGCTAGGGATGAATTTTTGCCACATTTAGTGCAGACCAGGTTGAGTTCCCTGGTGTGGGTTATTAGAGGATGAATGTGGGTTCACTTTCTGGGAAGCGTTATATTCCACATGTTCACCACAGACATCCTAAGAAGATTGTAATACAAACTGCAGTTGCAGTCCATTGACCGAGAACAGATTCTCTTTGTGTAAGCTCAGACTTTGATCAATAACAACCCTACTGCAGAACATGTACAGACATCTGTTACAGGTACCTCGCGCCTCCCAGTTTCCAGCTTATCCTAAACAGACCCAGTCCCTCATGCTTTCTAACTCTAACCTCCTCAGGTATTCTCCCACTCTAGCTCCCTCCAGTAACAGGAGTGCCCAGTATATATACTTGCGCTATCTAATCTACCGCATGTCCAGTACCGCTGTTCCCACTCGCTGCAAACGACCGCCACCTAATCCCAGCCTAACCAACCCTGTAAAAAAAGCCCCTTATGTAGCAACTTGCGGACTCTGCTTTCCTCTCTTCCTGTTTGCCATCCTCCAGCTCTTTCTCTGTCGTCCTAGTCTGCTCCATATTCGTTTGCAGACCTGCGTTTTACTCGTGCAAGTGTCTCCATGCTTAGATATTCTCTCATTAAAACCTAGAAAATCATGCGAACAAATTCTTTCCAACAATTACCATACCTGCACCAGTAGACGCGTACAAACCGGTGAGCCTGCCTTCCAGTAACTCCAGCCTAGAAGCTCTCTACAGCCAGGATGCCTCTCTTCAGCGGATGCTCTCGTCAACCTAAGTGATGCCACTTCTCCTCAAGCCTGAAGCCTACTCTCTACCCTCAGTACCCTGATGCCTTCTCTGCTTCAGTCACTCCGCTTGGAGCCGGTAGGGGGGGGGGGGGGGGGGGCAGTGGGGGCCTCGGCTGACAGGCCCTCGGCTCTTATCCTGTCAGCCTTCCTCAGCTCTTGAATTATTGCCGTCTCTTCTAGCTTTTAGCCTCTCCTCAGCATGAATGAACTGCATCCGGCTGATGCCGTAACATGCAGCATCATGTACACTGATCGAGCCCGCCGATTCCTATTAGGGCCAGTTGAATCTCCTCAAAGCCCTATGCCACCTGCTGTGATTTTTATGATCGGTATTGATCCAGTGCCCGATCTTTCGTGCTTCAATTCGACTCATATCCGCTTGTTATACACTGGTGATCCGGTCGCCGTGCCCACTGACTTGCCAGATGACGCGGTGACCGTGGCATATTCTCACTTTCGACTGATCGCGTTTGGTTGTCTGTCGTGCCAAATGTCATTACCTGGTCACTCAGGGTGCCGCTGTCTCGTGTATGTTAAGAACAATCTGTTGACCCTGGTGAAACAGTGCCACTGTGTGCCATGTTGACACTTATGCACTTTGTCTATGTTCATCCGGACCCAAGTGTTTTCGCTTTCCGCCCAGTCGACTCGGCTGCCGCAGTAACTGACTAGAAGACGCTTGGTGCCGCAGTTTTTCAGACGACTCCTGTTGCCCGCAGATCATACTCAGCGACTCGGGCTACGCAGATCTAGAACCCTAGACGGGACTCTTTGCTCGTCTTTTTCTTAGACCAAGACGTATCCTTGTGACTATACCTGCAGGGTATAAGACCGATTCGGGCTAGCTGTTCGGCCAGCTTGATCGATAGAGACGCTGTTCCGCTAGATTTCCCCGGTGTGCCCGCCAGTCTTGGTAGCATTAGCAAATGCATGCATTTTTTGTTCTTGACGACTTGTGGCCTATCACGTGTTGTCGGACGACTCGGTGCTCGCAGTGTCTTGCTCGTCGACTCGAGTGCCCGCAGATCGTAGTTTCACTCGGTGACCGCTATTTAAACCCGGCTCCATTTTACTCCTGATAGTTGTACCGACAGTCTTGCTCACTGTTTTCGACTCTTGTATTGAACCGCAGTCTTCTGACCCATAGACCGCAGAGCAACAGTCTTGCAGACGACTTTGTGCCGCAGTCTTTGCCCTTAAGACTCGTGTTTTGCCACGAATTCTTAGAAATCGACGACCTCGTGTTGCCTCGCTGTTCCGCCTAGGGCTGACTCGTTAACGAGAGTTCCGCCAGCTTGATCGGTGACCGCAGTTTATGGAGGCTAGAGTGGGAGCTTAGTAGAATATTATCCACAGAAAGACTCAGATTCTAACAGTAAGTGCAGTCCGGATCGGTGTGGACCCCGGGAACAAAGTTCTTGTCCGAGACTACCGTTGCGCAGACTTAAACCACATGACTTTAATCCAAACCGCAATATTGCAGACGACTCGGGGTGCCCTGCAAGGTTAGCCGAGAGACTCGTGTTCCTTAGCCGAAAGTGCCGTCCCCGTCGACTCGGTGCCTCAGTCTATTAGCCCTTTCGACTCGGTCCCAGTGTAGCCACCTACGCTTGACTCGATCTGCCGCTGTACCATAGGGCAGAAGACTCGGTGCCCGCAAGTCTTGCCAGACGAATCGGTGCCCGCAGTCTTTGCCAGCTCTGATCGGTAGCCGCCACAGTCTTTGCCAGAACGACTCGGTGTGCCCGCACGTCTTAAGCCAGCATGACAACTCGGTGCCCGCAGTCTTACTGCCAGACGACTCGGTGCCATGCGACTTCCGCCAGCAGCTGACTCGGTGCCTGCAGTGTTACGCCAGACGACTCGGTGCCTCGCAGTCTTGCAGTCTGGGGACTCGGTGCCCGCCTGATCTCGCCAGATGACTCGGGGTGCCGTCGAGTTACTGCCAGACGTCTCGGTGCCCGCGAGTCCTGCCAGACGCTCGGTGCCCCGCTCAGCCTTGCCATAGACGACTCGGTGCCCGCAGTCCCGCCTGACAGACACGGGTTTGCCGCTTGTTCCGCCAGAGGACTCCAGGTGCCGCAGTCTTGCCAGACGACTCAGGGTGCCGCACTGTAGTTAGCCTGGTGACTCGTGCTGCTGTTTCCGCCAGCTTGACTCGATGGCCCCGAAGACTGTTCCGCTCATCTGACCTCGGTGCCTGTCAGCTTGCCAGACGACTACGGTGCCCTGCCAGTCTTTTGCCAGCTTGACTCGGAGCCCGCCGCTTGCCGACTCGGTGCCCGGCAGTCTTGCCAGACGCCTCCGGGGCCCGCAGTCTGTCGCCAGTACGCTCGGTGCCACCAGTATGCCGCCAGCACGACCTGGGGTTGCCCGCAGTCTTCGCCAGACCCGGACTCGGTGCCGCTGCAGCCCCGCCAGACGACACGGTGCCTGCCTGTCGCCGCCAGTTGACTCGATGCTACGTCGCCACCGCCCGGGGGCTCGGTGCCCATTCTTGCCAGGGGGACTCGGTGCCCGCAGTCTATGCCAGACGACTCGGTGGCCCGCAGCCTCTTGCCTGACCGTACTCTGTGGGCCCGCAGTCCTTGCCAGACGATGTGCTCTGTGCCGCGGGGTGCCTGCTGTTTCCGCCAGACCTGTGACTCCAGGTGCCCGCAGTCTTGCCCGTCTTGACCTCGGTGCCCGGGGTCTTGCCAGATGTGACCTCGGTGCCCACAGTCTTGCGACCGACTCTGTGCCCGCCAGCCTTGCAGACGACTCGTGGCCTGCAGTTCCGCCAGTTGATGACCTGGCCGCTGTCCGCCAGCTTGACCGCTAGTCTTGCATTCTCAAGATCGGTGGCCCGCACGCCTCTGCCAGACGGACTTTTACGGTGCCCTCAACTCGGTCTCTTGCCAGACGACTCGGTGCCCGCTGTTCTGCCGCCTCGAAGTGCCCGCATGTCTCGCCAGACTCGGTGCCCCCGCAGTCTTGCCTCAGAACGACTCGGTGGCCCGCAGCCTCACGCCAGACGACATCGGGTTGCGCAGTCCAGCAGATTGACCTTCCGCCAGTTAACAGCCAGATTGGACTCGGTGCCCGGAGTCCTTGCCAGACGACCTCGTGTTGCCCGCAGTCCTTGCCCAGACGACTCGTGTGCCAGCTGTTCATGCCAGTTTGACTCGGTGCCGCCAGTCCACTTCATTGCCAGACGACTCGGTGCCCGCCAGTTTGCCAGACGACTCTGTGCCGCAAGTCCTTGCTGGGGGGGTTCCGCCAGTTGACTGGTGCCCGCAGGTTGCCGACGACTCGGTGCCCGCAGCCTTGGGGCCAGACGACTCGGTTTTTGCCTGCAGTTCCGGGCAGTTGACTCGGTGTTCCGAGACAGTCTGTGCCAGACGACTCGGTGCCCCGCAGTCCATTGCTAGACGTCCTGTAACTGATTACTGCCCGCAGTCTTGCCAGTGCGACTCGGTGCCCGCAGATCTTGCCAGACGACTCGTGCCACTGCAGTCTCTTTGCCAGACCCTGACTCGTGTCCTGCCGCTGCGTTCTTCGTCCAGACACCCGGTGCCCGCAGTTCCCTCCAGTTGACTCGGTGCCTGCTGCCAAGCCTGGTCCGCCAGGTCTTGACAGGGTGTCTCGGTGCCCGCAGTCTTGCCAGACGACTCGGTGGCCCGCAGTCTTGCCTTGTGACTCGGTTGCCGCAGTCTGCAGTCCCCCGAGACCTGTGACTCGGTGCCGCTCCAGATCCCCGCCAGTTGACTCGGTTGCCGCTGTTCCGCCAGTTGACTCGGTAGCCCGCAGTCTTGCCAGAGACTCGGTTTGCCCACTGTCGTTTGCCTGGTTACTTCGGTGCCCGCCGCTTCGTTGGGGGCCAAATGCCTATGTCGCCTCTAACATGTTCTGAGGGGTCCGATGCCTGTCGCTCCGCCTGGGGCCCGAGACCTGTAGTTCTTTCCGCTGGAGCGGTTCCGCCGTTTTTCCCAGGCCCGCCTGGGGGTCCCGATGAACTGTCGCCCAACGCCTGGTGGTCCCGATGCCTGTCGCCCCGCCCTGGGGGTGTTTGTACCGATGCCTGTCTTGCCGCCTCGGTGGGGTCCGGTGCCTGTCAGCCCCGCCAGGGGGCCCGGTGCCTGTCGCCCCGCCCGGGGGCCCGGTGCTGTCGCCCCCGCCTCGGGGCCTGCGGTGCCTGTCCTGTGCCCCGCCCGGGGGCCCGGTGCCTGTCGCCCCCGCCCGGGGTCTCCGGTGCCTGTCGCTCAGCCATGGTGCCCCAGCTGCCTGCTGCTACTCCCTGGTAGCCCTGATGTGGCTCTGCCCGGGGTTCCTGCCCGATGTGTGCCATGACCGGGGTCCTGCCCGATGAGCCTCTGCGGGGGTCCTGCCCGATGTGCCTCTGCCCGGGGTCCCTGCCCGATGTGCCTCTGCCCAGGGTCCCAGGGATCCTGCCCGCGAATGTGCCTCTGCCCCGAGTCCTGCCCGATGTGCCTCTGCCCGGAGTCCTGCCCGATGTGCCACTCATGCCCGGAGTCCAGCCCGATGTGCCTCTGCCCGATGTGCTCTGCCCCCCCCCCGAGTCCCAGCTCGATGTGCCTCTGCCCGGAGTCCAGCCCCGGTGTGCCTCTGCCGGTGTGCCTCTGCCCGATGTGCCTCTGCCCGGAGTCCCAGCCCGATGTGCCTCTGCCCGGAGTCCAGCCCGAGGTGCCTCTGCCCGGAGTCCAGCCCGATGTGCCTCTGCCCGGAGTCCCAGCCCGATGTGCCTCTGCCCCGGAGTCCAGCCCGATGTGCCTCTGCCCGGTGTACAGCTGCCCAGAGTCCTGCCTGGTGTGCCCAGTCTTTGATATCCCGCCAGTTACCAGACCCGGGCGGTGGAACATTTTTCCCAGCTAGGACTGTTTGGAGCGTCCTGAGGCCGCTCCTTGAGGGGGGGGTACTGTCAGGAATGGACTGGCCAGCTATGGTGGGACTCACCCTGCCTTTTGATCTGCAGTACCAGGGCTGGCCAGGGGTTTTCCCAGCAATCAGAGACTCAACTTTGCAGCCAGCTAACACCTGTAACTGATTATGCTGGGGTATTTAAGGGATGGCCAGAACCACAGACTCTGCCTTGGTGTGTGTTTGTCCTGGCCCTGTATCCTGTTTCTGTCCTGCATCCTGTTTCTGTCCTGCATCCTGTTTTCTGAAAAACCTTGCTGCTGACTTCTCCTGCTTTGATCCCGGCTCGCTCCTGACCATCCCCTCTGTCTGACCCTCTGTACCACGCTGCTTGCTACCTGTTCTGATCCCTGGCTTGTGACCCTGACCAATCTCCGCTTGCTCCCCCCCCCTGTACCTACCTGCCCTATTGATATTGACCCGGCCTGCCTGACGACGCTTGCTTGTATGTACTGTTTATCTGTGGGTGGTTTGGTTTGGTTTTGTTTGCACTGTATTATGTTTTAGTATTGCACTGCGTTTATGGTTTGTATGTTAGTGTTAATAAATTATATTGTTTATAACATATCTGAGGTCTGCGTTTCCTGCGTCAGTCACACATCTCTGGTCACACCTGGGAGCCCTGACAGTATCTTTTATCACGACGTTTTTTCCCCAGGCCACCGAATGGCGACCGCTGCATATGCTGACGCAACTGCAGTGGAGCTGGTGCTCTACTCCGTGGCCGTTTGCCTCCACTGACACTGCTGCGACCCTGCTGCCTCCTGGCAGCAGCAATGGGAGGCCGTACAGGGACCCATGACACACTCTGGACCTGGCAGCAGCATGAGGAGGCGGTACAGGGGCCCATGGCAGATTAGGGCCTGGCAGAAGCAATGGGAGGCCCCGTAATCTGCCAGCACCCTATGACAAAAATGGAACCAGCAGCAGTGTGAGGAGACCTGAAAGTGGCACATGGCAGAGTGTGGCGATGGAGACAGCAGCAATGGGAGGCCGTACAGGGACCCATGAGACACTGTGGACCTGGCAGCAGCATGAGGAGGCGGTACAGGGGCCCATGGCAGATTACAGGCCTGGCAGCAGCAATGGGAGGCCCGTAATCTGCCAGCACCCTATGACAAAAAATGGAACACACAGCAGTGTGAGGAGACAAAGTGGCACATGGCAGTGTGGCGAGGAGACAGCAGCAATGGGAGGCCGGCACAGGGACCCATGAGACACTGTGGACCTGGCAGCAGCATGAGGAGGCGGTACAGGGGCCCATGGCAGATTAGGGGCCTGGCAGCAGCAATGGGAGGCCCGTAATCTGCCAGCATCCTATGACAAAAAAATGGAACCCAGCAGCAGTGTGAGGAGACCTGAAAGTGGCACATGGCAGAGTGTGGCGATGGAGACAGCAGCAATGGGAGGCCGCCGTACAGGGACCCATGAGACACTGTGGACCTGGCAGCAGCATGAGGAGGCGGTACGGGGGCCCATGGCAGATTAGGGGCCTGGCAGCAGCATGGGAGGCCCGTAATCTGCCAGCACCCTATGACAAAAAATGGAACCCACCAGCAGTGTGAGGAGACCTGAAAGTGGCACATGGCAGAGTGTGGCGATGGAGACAGCAGCAATGGGAGGCCGTACAGGGACCCATGAGACACTGTGGACCTGGCAGCAGCATGAGGAGGCGGTACAGGGGCCCATGGCAGATTAGGGGCCTGGCAGCAGCTATGGGAGGCCCGTAATCTGCCAGCATCCTATGACAAAATGGAACCCACCAGCAGTGTGAGGAGACCTGAAAGTGGCACATGGCAGAGTGTGGCGATGGAGACAGCAGCAATGGGAGGCCGTACAGGGACCCATGAGACACTGTGGACCTGGCAGCAGCATGAGGAGGCGGTACAGGGGCCCATGGCAGATTAGTAGCAGGGGCCCATGGTGGCACATGGCAGGGGCGATTGAGGGGCGGGGGGGCCCATGGCAGATTAGGGGCCTGGCAGCAGCAATGGGAGGCCCGTAATCTGCCAGCACCCTATGACAAAAATGGAACCCAGCAGCAGTGTGAGTGAGGAGACCTGAAAGTGGCACATGGCAGAGTGTGGCGATGGAGACAGCAGCAATGGGAGGCCGTACAGGGACCCATGAGACACTGTGGACCTGGCAGCAGCATGAGGAGGCGGTACAGGGGCCCATGGCAGATTAGGGGCCTGGCAGCAGCAATGGGAGGCCCGTAATCTGCCAGCATCCTATGACAAAATGGAACCCACAGCAGTGTGAGGAGACCTGAAAGTGGCACATGGCAGAGTGTGGCGATGGAGACAGCAGCAATGGGAGGCCGTACAGGGACCCATGAGACACTGTGGACCTGGCAGCAGCATGAGGAGGCGGTACGGGGGCCCATGGCAGATTAGGGGCCTGGCAGCAGCAATGGGAGGCCCGTAATCTGCCAGCACCCTATGACAAAATGGAACACCACCAGCAGTGTGAGGAGACCTGAAAGTGGCACATGGCAGAGTGTGGCGATGGAGACAGCAGCAATGGGAGGCCGCAGGGACCCATGAGACACTGTGGACCTGGCAGCAGCATGAGGAGGCGGTACGGGGGCCCATGGCAGATTAGGGGCCTGGCAGCAGCTATGGGAGGCCCGTAATCTGCCAGCACCTATGACAAAATGGAACCCACCAGCAGTGTGAGGAGACCTGAAAGTGGCACATGGCAGAGTGTGGCGATGGAGACAGCAGCAATGGGAGGCCGTACAGGGACCCATGAGACACTGTGGACCTGGCAGCAGCATGAGGAGGCGGCATGAGGGTACAGGGGCCCATGGCAGATTAGGGGCCTGGCAGCAGCTATGGGAGGCCCGTAATCTGCCAGCACCCTATGACAAAATGGAACCCACCAGCAGTGTGAGGAGACCTGAAAGTGGCACATGGCAGAGTGTGGCGATGGAGACAGCAGCAATGGGAGGCCGTACAGGGACCCATGAGACACTGTGGACCTGGCAGCAGCATGAGGAGGCGGTACAGGGGCCCATGGCAGATTACAGGGCCTGGCAGCAGCAATGGGAGGCCCGTAATCTGCCAGCACCCTATGACAAAAAATGGAACACACCAGCAGTGTGAGGAGACCTGAAAGTGGCACATGGCAGAGTGTGGCGATGGAGACAGCAGCAATGGGAGGCCGTACAGGGACCCATGAGACACTCTGGACCTGGCAGCAGCATGAGGAGGCGGTACAGGGGCCCATGGCAGATTACAGGGGCCTGGCAGCAGCAATGGGAGGCCCGTAATCTGCCAGCACCCTATGACAAAAAATGGAACACACACAGCAGTGTGAGGAGACCTGAAAGTGGCACATGGCAGAGTGTGGCGATGGAGACAGCAGCAATGGGAGGCCGTACAGGGACCCATGAGAGACTCTGGACCTGGCAGCAGCATGAGGAGGCGGGGTACAGGGGCCCATGGCAGATTACAGGCCTGGCAGCAGCAGATGGGAGGCCCGTAATCTGCCAGCACCCTATGACAAAAAATGGAACACACCAGCAGTGTGAGGAGACCTGAAAGTGGCACATGGCAGAGTGTGGCGATGGAGACAGCAGCAATGGGAGGCCGTACAGGGACCCATGAGACACTCTGGACCTGGCAGCAGCATGAGGAGGCGGTACAGGGGCCCATGGCAGATTACAGGCCTGGCAGCAGCAATGGGAGGCCCGTAATCTGCCAGCACCCTATGACAAAAAATGGAACACACCAGCAGTGTGAGGAGACCTGAAAGTGGCACATGGCAGAGTGTGGCGATGGAGACAGCAGCAATGGGAGGCCGTACAGGGACCCATGAGAGACTGTGGACCTGGCAGCAGCATGAGGAGGCGGTACAGGGGCCCATGGCAGATTACAGGGCCTGGCAGCAGCAATGGGAGGCCCGTAATCTGCCAGCACCCTATGACAAAAAATGGAACACACCAGCAGTGTGAGGAGACCTGAAAGTGGCACATGGCAGAGTGTGGCGATGGATGGAGACAGCAGCAATGGGAGGCCCGTACAGGGACCCATGAGAGACTCTGGACCTGGCAGCAGCATGAGGAGGCGGTACAGGGGGCCCATGGCAGATTACAGGCCTGGCAGCAGCAATGGGAGGCCCGTAATCTGCCAGCACCCTATGACAAAAAAATGGAACACACCAGCAGTGTGAGGAGACCTGAAAGTGGCACATGGCAGAGTGTGGCGATGGAGACAGCAGCAATGGGAGGCCGTACAGGGACCCATGAGAGACTCTGGACCTGGCAGCAGCATGAGGAGGCGGTACAGGGGCCCATGGCAGATTAGGGGCCTGGCAGCAGCTATGGGAGGCCCGTAATCTGCCAGCACCCTATGACAAAAAATGGAACACACCAGCAGTGTGAGGAGACCTGAAAGTGGCACATGGCAGAGTGTGGCGATGGAGACAGCAGCAATGGGGAGGCCGTACAGGGACCCATGAGACACTCTGGACCTGGCAGCAGCATGAGGAGGCGGGTACAGGGGGGCCCATGGCAGATTACGGGCCTGGCAGCAGCAGCAATGGGAGGCCCGTAATCTGCCAGCACCCTATGACAAAAAATGGAACACACCAGCAGTGTGAGGAGACCTGAAAGTGGCACATGGCAGAGTGTGGCGATGGAGACAGCAGCAATGGGAGGCCGTACAGGGACCCATGAGAGACTCTGGACCTGGCAGCAGCATGATGAGGAGAGGCGGTACAGGGGGGCCCATGGCAGATTACAGGCCTGGCAGCAGCAATGGGAGGCCCGTAATCTGCCAGCACCCTATGACAAAAAATGGAACACACCCAGCAGTGTGAGGAGACCTGAAAGTGGCACATGGCAGAGTGTGTGCGATGGAGACAGCAGCAATGGGAGGGCCGTACAGGGACCCATGAGAGACTCTGGACCTGGCAGCAGCATGAGGAGGGGTACAGGGGCCCATGGCAGATTACAGGCCTGGCAGCAGCAATGGGAGGCCCGTAATCTGCCAGCACCCTATGACAAAAAATGGAACACACCAGCAGTGTGAGGAGACCTGAAAGTGGCACATGGCAGAGTGTGGCGATGGAGACAGCAGCAATGGGAGGCCGTACAGGGACCCATGAGAGACTCTGGACCTGGCAGCAGCATGAGGAGGCGGTACAGGGGCCCATGGCAGATTACAGGCCTGGCAGCAGCAATGGGGAGGCCCGTAATCTGCCAGCACCCTATGACAAAAAATGGAACACACCAGCAGTGTGAGGAGACCTGAAAGTGGCACATGGCAGAGTGTGGCGATGGAGACAGCAGCAATGGGAGGCCGTACAGGGGACCCATGAGAGACTCTGGACCTGGCAGCAGCATGAGGAGGCGGTACAGGGGCCCATGGCAGATTAGGGGCCTGGCAGCAGCAATGGGAGGCCCGTAATCTGCCAGCACCCTATGACAAAAAATGGAACACACACAGCAGTGTGAGGAGACCTGAAAGTGGCACATGGCAGAGTGTGGCGATGGAGACAGCAGCAATGGGAGGCCGTACAGGGACCCATGAGAGACTCTGGACCTGGCAGCAGCATGAGGAGGCGGTACAGGGGCCCATGGCAGATTACAGGCCTGGCAGCAGCAGCAATGGGAGGCCCGTAATCTGCCAGCACCCTATGACAAAAAATGGAACACACCAGCAGTGTGAGGAGACCTGAAAGTGGCACATGGCAGAGTGTGGCGATGGAGACAGCAGCAATGGGAGGCCGTACAGGGACAGGGACCCATGAGAGATCTGGGACCTGGCAGCAGCATGAGGAGGCGGTACAGGGGCCCATGGCAGATTACAGGCCTGGCAGCAGCAATGGGAGGCCCGTAAATCTGCCAGCACCCTATGACAAAAAATGGAACACACCAGCAGTGTGAGGAGAGACCTGAAAGTGGCACATGGCAGAGTGTGGCGATGGAGACAGCAGCAATGGGGGAGGCGTACAGGGACCCATGAGAGACTCTGGACCTGGCAGCAGCATGAGGAGGCGGTACAGGGGCCCATGGCAGATTACGGGCCTGGCAGCAGCAATGGGAGGCCCGTAATCTGCCAGCACCCTATGACAAAATGGAAACACACCAGCAGTGTGAGGAGACCTGAAAGTGGCACATGGCAGAGTGTGGCGATGGAGACAGCAGCAATGGGGAGGCCGTACAGGGACCCATGAGACACTCTGGACCTGGCAGCAGCATGAGGAGGCGGTACAGGGGCCCATGGCAGATTACAGGCCTGGCAGCAGCAATGGGAGGCCCGTAATCTGCCAGCACCCTATGACAAAAAATGGAACACACCAGCAGTGTGAGGAGACCTGAAAGTGGCACATGGCAGAGTGTGGCGATGGAGACAGCAGCAATGGGAGGCCGTACAGGGACCCATGAGAGACTCTGGACCTGGCAGCAGCATGAGGAGGCGGTACAGGGGCCCATGGCAGATTACAGGCCTGGCAGCAGCAATGGAGGCCCGTAATCTGCCAGCCAGCACCCTATGACAAAAAATGGAACACACCAGCAGTGTGAGGAGACCTGAAAGTGGCACATGGCAGAGTGTGGCGATGGAGACAGCAGCAATGGGAGGCCGTACAGGGACCCATGAGAGACTCTGGGACCTGGCAGCAGCATGATGAGGAGGCGGTACAGGGGCCCATGGCAGATTAGGGGCAGGGCCTGGCAGCAGCAGCATGGGAGGCCCGTAATCTGCCAGCACCCTATGACAAAAAAATGGAACACACCAGCAGTGTGAGAGGAGACCTGAAAGTGGCACATGGCAGAGTGTGGCGATGGAGACAGCAGCAATGGGAGGCCGTACAGGGACCCATGAGAGACTCTGGGACCTGAGCAGCATGAGGAGGGCGGCGGTACAGGGGCCATGGCAGATTACGGGGCCTGGCAGCAGCAATGGGAGGCCCGTAATCTGCCAGCACCCTATGACAAAAAAATGGAACACACCAGCAGTGTGAGGAGACCTGAAAGTGGCACATGGCAGAGTGTGGCGATGGAGACAGCAGCAATGGGAGGCGCCGTACAGGGACCCATGAGAGACTCTGGACCTGGCAGCAGCATGAGGAGGCGGGTACAGGGGCCCATGGCAGATTACGGGCCTGGCAGCAGCAATGGGAGGCCCGTAATCTGCCAGCACCCTATGACAAAAAAATGGAACACACACACCTAGCAGTGTGAGGAGACCTGAAAGTGGCACATGGCAGAGTGTGGCGATGGAGACAGCAGCAATGGGAGGCCGTGTACAGGGACCCATGAGAGACTCTGGACCTGGCAGCAGCATGAGGAGGTCTGGTACAGGGGCCCATGGCAGATTAGGGGCCTGGCAGCAGCTATGGGAGGCCCGTAATCTGCCAGCACCCTATGACAAAAAAATGGAAACACACCAGCAGTGTGTGAGGAGACCTGAAAGTGGCACATGGCAGAGTGTGGCGATGGAGACAGCAGCAATGGGAGGCCGTACAGGGACCCATGAGAGACTCTGGACCTGGCAGCAGCATGAGGAGGCGGGTACCAGGGGCCCATGGCAGATTAGGGGCCTGGACAGCAGCATGCTATGGGGTAGGCCCGTAATCTGCCAGCAATGGTGGGTTGCCCTGATGTCAAGCAAAATGGAACACCAGCAGCAGTGTGAGGAGACCTGAAAGTGGCACATGGCAGAGTGTGGCGATGGAGACAGCAGCAATGGGAGGCCGTACAGGGACCCATGAGACACTGGACCTACCTGGCAGCAGCATGAGGAGGCGGGTACAGGGGGCCCATGGCAGATTACAGGCCTGGCAGCAGCTATGGGAGGCCCGTAATCTGCCAGCACCTATGACAAAAAATTGGAACACACACCAGCAGTGTGTGAGGAGACCTGAAAGTGGCACATGGCAGAGTGTGGCGATGGAGGACAGCAGCAATGGGAGGCCGTACAGGGACCCATGAGAGACTCTGGACCTGGCAGCAGCATGAGGAGGGCGGTACAGGGGCCCAGGGGCCCATGGCAGATTACAGGGCCTGGCAGCAGCAATGGGAGGCCCGTAATCTGCCAGCACCCTATATGACAAAAAAATGGAACACACCAGCAGTGTGAGGAGACCTGAAAGTGGCACATGGCAGAGTGTGGCGATGGAGACAGCAGCAATGGGAGTGGCCGTACAGGGACCCATGAGAGACTCTGGACCTGGCAGCAGCATGAGGAGGGCGGTACAGGGGCCCATGGCAGATTAGTGGCCTGGCAGCAGCAATGGGAGGCCCGTAATCTGCCAGCACCCTTATGACAAAAAATGGAACACACCAGCAGTGTGAGGAGACCTGAAAGTGGCACATGTTTGGGCATGATTCATGGCGGATTTAGTCAGTTGTGTCAGGAACTGGTGGTTTGAAATCCAGACTAATCCACGCCTGATTCATTTTCACAAACGTGAGTCTCTCCACACTTTGGGTGGGACAGTCGTGTCGTGTCCTCCGCGGAGTTACAATACCTCCTGCCGCACTAAACAACACGCGCGCTCCGATGCCACGCTACTGGCCGGGCATGACAGCCTTTCAAGGGCAAATTCAGCTAGTTGGGGGCCAAAGGTCAAGTTTTCGTTGCCCAGTAGTCAAGGGGATTGTCTACCTCGGTTGGCAGGGTGCTGTCCAAGTAGGCCCAAGCCTGTTGTTTGAGGTCCTGCTCCAGGTCCACCTGATGCTGCTGCTGCTGCTGCGGCTGGTTAGTAGTTTCCTCACTGCGCTGGTGAAGAAAGCTACTCATCATCGACTGCAGACTGAGGCAGCCGCTGCTGGTGGAGCTGCCACTGCTCCTACCACCCCCCCCCCTCCCCTGCTGCCATGGCAGCGGAACGCTCGAGCGCACAGGGCCCACAGTGTCTGAGGATGGACGTTGGCGCACAAAGGCAGAGACCAACTGACTACATAGGTGGTTTTTATAGTACGTTTTATTTTGGCCTCCCTCTCAGCAGGTGTGAAAAAAGGCCACCATTTTTGAACGGTAGCGAGGGTCCAACAAGGTGGACAGCCAAAAGTCATCCCTCTGTCTGATGGTTATTATTCGGCTGTCGCTACGCAAGCAACCGAGCATGCTATGGGCCATTTGTGCCAAGGAATGCGAGGGGACTCCCTGCCTCCATCTCCTCACAGCATACTGCCACGGTGCGTCTGGGTCCTCTGTCTCCTCCTCCTCCTCCTCCTCTACCAGATGCTCCTGCTCTCTCCACTCCTGTCCGCTGAGTGGAAAAACCACCCCATTTCACTCAATAATTTCCTGAGCACAAATGTCCTCCTCTACCTCCTCCTCTTCTTCCTGTCCTGCCCCCACAGGGGTCATGTGGCGTTGAGATCTGTGCGCCACGTCTACCGCACCCTGACCAGCCATTGTTAACAGCATTTGTTCCAGGACGTGTAACAGCAACAGAGGAGAATGACGTCGTTCATCCCATAGTCCTGCCGACTCACGAATAGCGTGGCCTCCTCAAAGGGGCACTGAGCAAGCGGCAGGTGTCACGCATGAGCTGCCAATGGCTGACATCGAAGTTACACAGGGGGAGTACCTTTATCCGCTTGTAACATCAGGAAATCGGTGATGGCCTTTCGCTGTTCGTAAAGGCGGTCTAACATGTGTAGGGTTGAATTCCACCTTGTTGCAACGTCGCAGATCAGGCGATGCTGTGGAATTCCGTTCTGCCGCTGCAGCTCAAGGAGGGTGTGCTTTGCGGTGTAGGAATGGCTGAAATGCATGCAAAGTTTACGTGACATTTTAAGGATGTCTTGCAGTGGGATGGTGGATTTTAGGAACCGCTTGACAACCAGATTGAACACGTGAGCCATGCATGGCGCATGGCACAACCTTCCTTGACGCAGAGCAGACACCATGTTCTTTCCGTTGTCGGTCAACAACATGGTTCCGATTTTCAGTTTGCGCGGGAGACAGCCATCTGTCGATTTCTCTGTTCATTACACTGAGAAGTTCCTCCCCTGTGTGACTACGTTCGCCAAGGCATACCAGGTGCAGCACAGCGTGACACCGTTGCGCCCTGCACATGTGATATGCCGGTCGGGTAATGGGACTTGGCACGGGGGTGGCGGCTGAGGACACGGCGGAAGAAGAGGTGGTAGAGGCGGACATCTTTTGTGGACCAAGGACGTGCAAACGTGGAGGCAAAAGCGGCGTGACCTGTCCAAGTTGCTGGTGCGGCTGTGCCGGCACCACGTTCACCCAGTGGGCCGTAAATGACATGTACTGTCCCTGACCGTAGTTACAGCTCCACACGTCGGCGCTGCCGTGCACTTTGGCAGAGACCGACATGCTCAAAGACTGGCCCACCATCTCTTCTACATGTGAATGCAGGGCTGGCACTGCCTTTTTGGCGAAGAAATGACGGCTTGGCACTCTCCACCGCGGCGCTGGCGGCACATGCCATCATTTCTCGGAAAGGTGCTGAGTCCACCACTTGGAAAGGGAGGGACTGCAGCACCAGCAACTTGGACAGGAGGACGTTCAGCTTTTGCACCGTCGGGTGCGTGCTCGCAAACTGTTGTCTCTTGGAAACGGATTCCAAGAAAGACTGCTGACGGGAATCCGTGAAGAGGAGTAGCAGGAGAAGGGCATTCTGAAACGAGCGGAAGATGCCAACGAGCGACAACTCCCCTCAGCAGAGGTGTTGGAGCCTTGACTGGCTGATAGAGGGCGATTGACGTCGGGTGACGGAGCAAGTAACGGAGCGGGTGATGGAGCGGGGGCTGGGGCAGGCAGAACCGCCGTATCTTTATCACGGTTTTCCCAGGCCACCAAATGGCGACGCTGCATATGCTGACGCAACGCTGTAGTCCCAATCACATGGGCCCCCTGGCCACGCTTGACTTTTCTGGCCACATAGTCGACATACGGCTACGTTTACTTCCTCGGGCGGCTTGACGAAAAATTGCCCACAACCCGAGAGGTAGGAAACTTTGCCCCCGATACTCCTCACTGGCTGACTGCTACTTCTCCTCCGTGCACCACCGGCACCACTACTGGCCGTGGTGGTAGGCTGCAGTGGAGCTGGTGCTCTACGCTCTCCGTGGCCGTTTTGCCTCCACTGACACACTGCTGCGACCCTGCTGCCTCTGGGCAACCCACCGACTGTTTTGCTCGCTGCCAAGCTGCCACCCTCTTCTCCTGATGATGCGGAAGCAATAGCCTGATGACGACGAGGCTGCCAAGTGCGATCAGCCTCATCATCATCAATTAGGGTCTCCGCCTCACTACTAGCCCCCTCGGCTGCGTGTGGGTCAGGAGACAGACCTGTCTCTAGACCGGCTACCGAGCCACTCTCCTCGCCACTACTTCTTTCGCCTGGCTGCTGGGATGAAGAGGCGGATGTCTCCCCCCAGTTCCTGACCGCCCTCTGTTAGCTCTTCCCTCACTGTACAGTGGGGCTGAGCCCACAGCATGCGATACTTCGCTTGGTGAGGGAACACCAAAGGACAGGGGCAGGTAGAGGACACGTGATTTCAGTGGGCTTGCTCCCGGGCCATGCCAACTAACGGTTGTGTCTGACGTACCCACCGACCGTTGGCTGTAGGTGTCAGAGGTGACCTGGGAAGAGGAAGACGACCGACCGAGCCAACCAATCGATGACGGCAGGGTTGTGCTCGGTGGAGACAAATCGAACCGCTGGATGACACCGGGAGCACTGGCATGCCTCTTGGCTGCGACTAGTGCTGCCTCGACCCCTTCCTCTGCTGCCACGTCTGCTCGCTCTAAAACATTGCCTCTCCTGCTGCACTCCTCTGCATGTTGTCTGACATACTCTTTAATTCAACGATTATGTGTCCCTGAGTAACAATTCTGTGTCCCTGAGTAACAATTCTGTGTCCCTGAGTAACAATTCAATTAATCTGTGTCTGTTCCCTGAGTAACAATTCTGTGTCCCAGTCAGTAACAATTCTGTGTCCCTCAGTAAACAATTCTGTGTCCCTCTGAGTAACAATTCTGTGTCTGTTCCCTCAGTAACAATTCTGTGTCCCTCAGTAACAATTCTGTGTCTGTCCCTGAGTAACAATTCTGTGTCTGTCCCTGAGTAACAAATTCTGTGTCCCTCAGTAACATTCTTTAGTGTCCCTCAGTAACAATTCTGTGTCTGTCCCTCAGTAACAATTCTGTGTCCCTGAGTAAAATGGTACAATTCTGTGTCCCTGAGTAACAATTCTGTGTCCCTGAGTAACAATTCTGTGTCCCTGAGTAACACTATTCTGTGTCTGTCCCTGAGTAACAATTCTGTGTCTGTCCTGAGTAACAATTCTGTGTCCCTGAGTAACAATTCTGTGTCCCTGAGTAACAATTCTGTGTCCCTCAGTAACAATTGTGTGTCTCTGAGTAAGTATAATTCTGTGTCTGTCCCTGAGTAACAATTCTGTGTCCCCTCATGTAACAATTCTGTGTCCTTCTGTAAAACAATTCTGTGTCTCCTATGAGTAACAATTCTGTGTCTTGTCCCTGAGTAACAATTCTGTGTCCCTCAGTAACAATTCTGTGTCCCTCCAGTAACAATTCTGTCGTTTGTAGCCTGAGTAACAATTCTGTGTAGTCAGTAACAATCTGTGTCCCTGACGTAACAATTCTGTGTCCTGAGCAGTAACAATTTCTGTGTCCCTCAGTAACAATTCTGTGTCCCACTGAGTAACAATTCTGTGTCCCTCAGTAACAATTCTGTGTCTGTCCCTGAGTAACAATTCTGTGTGTCTGCCCTGTGTAACAATTCTGTGTCCCAGTAACAATTTCTGTGTCCCTCAGTAACAATTCTGTGTCTTGTCCCTGTCCCCAAGTAACAATTCTGTGTCCCTTCAGTAACAATTCTGTGTCCCTCAGTAACAATTTCTCTGTCTGTCCCTCTGTAACAAATTCTGTGTCCTTCCCTGTAACAATTCTGTGTCTGTCACTGAGTAATACAATTCGTGGGTTGTGTCTGAGTAACAAGATTTCTGTGGC